GGCTGGCACCTTAGCCGCTTGAGCCACAGGCGCTGTGCAGCTGTCATTGTTGTTTGGTGGGCCTGGACTGGATTCGAACCCACCAGTTCAGGTGTATGTGGCTGGTGCCTTAGCCGCTTGAGCCATAGGCGCTGAGCCTATTTATTTTCTGAGACAGAGTCTCAGTTTGTCACCCTGGGTAGAGTACTGAGTACCATAGAATCATAGCTCACAGCACCCTCAAACTCTTGGGCTCAAGCAATTTGCTTGCCTCAGCCTCCTAAGTAGCTGGGACTATAGGTGCCCATCACAACACCCAGTTTTTTGTTTTTTGTTTTTTTTTTGAGCCAGAGCCTCAAGCTATCACCCTGGGTAGAGTGCAGTAGCATCACAGCTCACAGGAACCTCCAACTCCTGGGCTTAAACGATTGTCTTGCCTTAGCCTTCCAAGTACCTGGGACTACAGGTACCCGCCACAACGCCAGGCTATTTTTTGGTTGTAGTTGTCATTGTTGTTTGGCAGGCCCAGGCTGGATTCGAACCTGCCAGCTCCGGTGTATGTGGCTGGTGCCTTAGCCACTTGAGCTACAGGTGCCAAGCCAACACCCAGCTATTTTTAGTAGAGAGGATGGTCTTGAACTCCTGAGCTAAAGCAATCCACTGGCCTTGGCCTGCCAGAGAGCTAGGATTACAGGTGTGAGCCACTTTACTTGCCCATCTTCTTTTTTTTTTTTGAGACAGAGTCTCCCTATGTCCTCCTTGTTAGAGTACTGTGGCATCACAGCAACCTCAAACTCTTGGGCTTAGCGATTCTCTTGCCTCAACCTCTCAAGAAGCTGGGACCATTTTGTTGTTGCAGTTGTCATTGTTGTTTAGCTGGCCTGCGCTGGGTGTGAACCTGCCAGCCTCGGTATATGTGGCTGGCACCTTACCTGCTAAGTTATGGACGCCGCCGCCAGGCTGTCTTTTTTAAAAAGAAATTTAAATGGACTTTGCATGAAAACAATGGGTGAGGGCTCGGCGCCTGTGGCTCAACCGGCTAAGGCGCCAGCCAC